AAAAAAAAAAAAAAAAAAAAAGGATTTATAAATTATCTATAATTAATTGTTAATTTAACTATTACTTAGTTGAACAATGGCATTTTTTCTTTTTTCTCGTAATAATACTGATTGTTCATTTCTCGCTACCCAATTTTCAACTGATTTATAATCCAATCATGAAATTTAATTTAATTTAAGATGACTAATCGGTTGGTCTCATTTTGCTTTTTTTAGCAAAATGTTTAAAAATTTATCACAAACCATTGCTAATTAATTAACTGCGGACCGATTAATTCATTAAAAATTTTTTCTAGCAGAAATCGATTAAATTTACATTTCATCATTATTGCATATTTTTGCGCTGAATTTCAACAGCATTCTCATGTTATTCACATCTTTTACATATATGATGGCTATTAATCATATCAATTTAAATATATTCCAATATAATGACCGAAATAATTAAGTTAATGTAATAATTATTATCTTATAAGAATTTTTTTTATGATTCACATAATAGGACAATTTGGTAATTAACTACAACATATAATTTTATCTTTCATATTTTTTTTTGCATCCATTATATGTTTTTATTGTATCATTTAATTACACGTTTATCAGTATTATTCCGTGATACGTGCATTTTTCTCGCCACGTTTTTGCAATAATTAGCTAAATTTTAATTGCTAAAAATACACCTTTTATTAAATACTTTCATCGTTATTATTATCATTTGCAAATATTATCAATTAAACTTTATTATTAATTACATTGTTCTTATCAATTATATTTTTATTATCAATTACAAGTCCTATAATGTTTTTGTTTTTTTTTGTAATTTTTCACTTCGATTTTTTTCTTAAACATTTAACATGAGGAAAAAAAAAACAACAAAAAGAACAAACTAATAAAGTAAGTTTATGCAAAAAAACAAAAAAAAATCTTTTAATTAATTAAATTAAATTTATTAAAAGAATAATACAATTATCGAGTTATTTTAATTACTTTCATATTATTATCAAACATTTTCTATTAAATATTTTAAACAAAATTTATCAATCATTTTTTTTTTGTAAAATTAAAACATATCTATCATTTCTTTGTAAAACTTATTAGTCACATTTATTATGTTGAAATGAAGTAAAATTTCATTTATCTACGTCATTAAAAAATTTTTTTTAATCGAATGAAATTTAATTGTCTCTAATATTCTCGTTTCTTTTTTTTTCTTAATTTAATTGTTTGCAATATTTTACAAGATAGATAATTCCAAACAATTGTTTTTCGTTTCCTTTCTTTTTTACAAATTAACAAAATTAGCATATCTGTTTCTTTCTTTCTTTTTTTTTTTACTCAAAAGAACAGGAAAAGATATGAAGGCGTAAAAATAAAATAAAGAAGTAACGTGGTACAATTAATGGTTAAAAGAAATTCCCCATATAAATCCCGGTAGAAAGAGTACGAGAAGAAAAGAAGGGAAGGAAAATATTCCAAGAAATGATAACCGGTTGATGTTTTAATCTAATAATAATTATTAAATAATGATCATATATGTAAGAGTTAATTTAAAAAAAAAAAGACAAAAAACTGGAAAATACAATAAATTAATAAAATTTTGTCATTATTCAATAATTAGATTCGCTAGATTCTTTGAAATTTTAATTAATTTTTGACAAAAATCAAAAACCTTTGACCTTCCTAACAAAGTCATAATTTGTCCTCAACTGATTTATAATTTTCCTTGCCATTCTTATATGTAATCATAAAGCTTTTATGCCAAAAAAAATTAATTCGTTGTTAATTAGTACAAAAAAAAAAGATCATTTTAATTATCACTTTATTGATAGCACTTGCATGTCGTTTAATGTTGATTAAATTGAATCCAACATTTCAATTATTATTTATCAAATATTATCATTTGTCTATTCAACCTTACTTGATGATTTATCTCACTTTTTCCTTCTTTTTCAATTATTGTTATTTATTATCAATTAAAATTAATTAAGAATCGATATCAATTTAAAATTTTCGTCTCTTTCATTCATTCATTCATTTATTCATTTATTTACTTATTTCTTGTTAAGCAAATACTTATTTATTTATTTATTTATTTATCATTTCATTTCTTTACTTATTTATTTGTCAAACAAATATGTTTTAAGTTATTTACTCTTTCTCAAAATTATTGTTGCTTAATTACTATTTTTTACGTAAACATTTTAAATTTTCGATAAAAAAGAAAATAACGATTTATTAAAAGAAGTAAACAATTTCAATTTATAGTTTTTTGTGGAATCAGTACCTCATTTACTGATCAATTTATTCCTAACATTTTATGTTATTGGTGGAGCAATTGCATTTCAATTAATTGATGAAAGTATAAAAGATGAAAAATTTTACAGCGTTATTCAATTCACTTTTACTACCATTGCTACCGTTGGTATGTTCTAATTCATTTCTTTCTTTCTTTTTTTTTTTTAACATTTTTAAATATGAAATTATTTAAGAACAAAAAAAATGTCATAAATTCGTTAATAATTAAAAATTTTACATATATTAAAGCTTATAATTTTTGTTTTTTTTGAATTTAAAAAACTACGTGCATTTTTACAATATAAATTTTAATTATATAAGCACATAATAATTGTTAGAATATTTAATGATTTTTAGTTGTTAGAAGCTAAATTTTTTAAAAATTAAATTATCAATGGATTTAATTGTAACCATCCTTTTTGATTAGATAAATTAGTGATTGGTTGATTGATTTATTGATTGATGATTTAATTGATTAATTTAGTGATACTAATTGTGATAAAATGAGATGATTTTAAATTTAAAATGCTTAGTGTTAGTTGAAGTTAATAAAATAACGTAAAAAATATATTGAAATTACTATATATGAAACGGAACTAATTTATTATACTAAATTTTGCTAATCTTTTTTTTTTTTATTTGCAATTATTTTTATTGTTCCTGTTTAACTAACATTTATTTTATTTCTTACGGTACATTTCTTGAAACTAATTATATTGCATTTCAAACATACATATCATACGGTATTCATCTGATAGAAATTTTATTCGTAAACTAAACTATAAAATTATTTCATTGATGATTGCAATTGATTGATTTCAAAAAATTGCTATGAAATATGAAAAATTCCTTTTTGATTTTTTTTAATGCTTTTTGTAGAAACATTAAATTTAGATGTTTAGATGTTTGCCAAAATATTAAACTATCATATTCCCAAAAAAAAAAAAACTACTGTAGAAAAGTTGAATAAAATTGGGATAAATGTTATAGGTTACGGTAATATCGTTCCAACAACAGATGCAAGTAAATTATTCTGCATATTTTATACATTGGTTGGTGTACCGCTTCTTTTCCTCTCATTAACAAATATTGGTCAATTCATTGCCGAAGGTTATTGGATTTTCCTAGCATCACTACAAAGGACACAAGTATTTCTTATTATAATTCAAATTCAAATATACATTTTTTTTCTTTTTTAATTCAAATTCAAATATACATTTTTTTTAAACTAAATCAGTTAAAAATTGTTTAAAAAAATTATTGAAATATTTGAAATTTTTGCGTTTTGATATTTCAAAAAATTTTTTTTACAAAAGTTTCCAAAGTTTTGCAACTTTAATGTTTTTTTTCTTTTGAAATTTTTAATAAAAATCAAAAATTTTAATTTAAAAAATAGAATTGAAGTTTTGAAAAGAATTATTATCTATCTATTTACTTCTAAAAATGGTGTACAATTATGGAATAATATATAATTAATTAAAAATGTGTGTAAAGATTTTAAGTAGAATTAATTAAGGAATAGTGGAAATAATTATAATTTAATTAAATTGGAAAATATGTTTTATTATTTTATTTCAGTGTATTGATGCACCAGATGAGCGTCGTTTACCATTATCAATCGTTGTAACATTATTACTAACACATTCAATTATCGGTGGATTATTATTCCATTTTTGGATTGATCAAATGCCTGTCATACCTGCAATTTATTTTAGGTTCTTCATACATTTATCATTTATCATTTATCATTTATCACTTGTACATTAAAAAATGGATGAATATTTTTTTAGTAATTTTTAGCTCAAAAGAAAAATGAAAATGAAATTAGAAAATTATTCTTTTACTCACTTTTTATTTCTTTTTTTTTTTGATAAATTTTTTTTTATAAATCGAAACTTTTACAACTAATTAATGTAACAATTTTTGTTTTGTTTACCTATTTGTTGATCTTTTTTCTTTTCCTATTTTTAATTTATTTTAAGTTTTTCATTCTTTCAGTTTTGTCTCAATTACAACAATCGGTTATGGTGATATAACACCAACACCAAATGATGCTATTCAAACATTAATTATTGTTCTTTATCTTGCTATTGGAATGGTAAGTGGTATTGAAATTGTTAATAAAATTTTATTTCAATAAATAGCAAACATATCAAGATGATATAGATGAATTTAAAAGGGATAGATTTATAGTAATACAGATGGGTTTAAAGAAATTCAAAAATGAGATTGATTGTAATTGCTTTAAAAGAATTAAACAAATAATTTAAAATTGAAAAAAAAACAAAAAAGTAAAGAGAAGTTGTATTTTATCTTATAGGTAACTTTAAAAATAAAGTAAATTATTATGTATCAAATGAACAGTTTTCTCAAAGAATTCATTTTTACAGGTGATAATGTCAACATTTGTCGCTTCACTTTATAATTACCTCCGAAGATTACACTATCTAGGACGTAATTTTAGTGGAGCAGCTCATGTTGAAGTATGGTTTGGTGGCACTAAAATGTCAGTATCTGAATTACTTTATATTGTTGCAGACGAATTTAATGTTAGTAAAATTATTCAATTACTTTTGCAAGAAAAAAAAAAAAGGAGGAAAAACATTCAAAATGTTAGCATACCTTTTCTCTTGCTAACGATTATTTCTTTGTGATATGTAAATTAAAATTTTAATATTAATTTGAATAAAAAATTTTAAAATTAAAATATATCATATTTAAATGATAAATATTTCATACATTGAGGTTGAATGTTTAATAGTCTCCAATGGTTTAATTCAAATATTCATTAACTAAATTAATTATACCATTCAATATCCTCTTTCTTTCACCTTATCGTCTTTTAATTAGTACAAACTTATTTTATGCTTTTCGCACCATACATGTGAAAATATCAATAAAAATGTTTTGTTCAGATATTTTTCTTTTTTCTTCTTCCTTTAATTTAATTTTGAAAAAAAAAAAACTGAAACAAGTTTAGTTTAAATACAAAATTGTTTGTATTTTTATTTTTTAAAAAATTTTTATAGGTTTCACCAAAAATGCTTTATGAAGTATTACATGATTTGGATCATATAATTACGGAAGCAACAGATCCAAAAATAAAATTAAACATTGAAGAAAATCGTCAGAATCGTCAAAATCGAATTTCACGTTCGGAAAATTGTAAATTTCGAGAATATTTTGATAGCAATGGTATTCGAATGGTTGAAATTAAAGATTCATTAAAACCAGAAAATACACATGTAAGTTTTGCATTTAATTAACATCACTAATGAAACATTTAAGCATAAAAGATATTGTATTATTCCTGATTTGTTTGTATTGTTACTTTCGAGCTATTTTAATTTTCAGGTAATGATAAAAACTGATTCAACCAATTGCTTAAACAAAATTCCAGAAGATCAACGTGAAAATGTATGCTAATTTTTTTTTTTTAAATCATTAAGTACTACTTAGTAAACGGAGACTTTGATGATAGCAATTAATGAAATGTTTGATATGTATGTTATATATGGGTTCATTGAAGAGTTTCATGACGACAACTGTCAAATTGTCCTATCAAATTTATTTATAACTCATAATTATATAGCCATTTAGAGAGACTTCTTCTTCTGGCTTTCATTACCTCAAATACTAATATAACAATAATCCATTTCATTAATTGAAATTTAAGAGATAAATTCAAATTTCATTCATATTTAATATTAAAGATGTTGAAAGTTGAAAAGTTGAAAATTAAAAAATAAGCACAATTGAAATAAATTTTGCGCAGGTTATGCAAGCACTTGGCATGTTTCATCATGTGGTGAAAACAAAATCAAATTTGACAACTAAACGACGCTCTTCATCTGTTTCAACAAAATTACATTTTGTCAACAATCATTCATCTGCTGAACCAGGCTAATTTCATTAACATTTGCTCATAGAAATTAATGTACATAGTATTTTTTTTTATAAATTTTAGTTTAATTTTAACATTTAAATAAGATTATCAAACAGTATTGTTTACTTTTTGAAATGATATTAAATTCTTAATTGTTAATTAAAGATAAGGTAAGGTAAGGTAAGGTTTAACTGAAAAAAATTTGAAATATTTTGAAATTATGTAATCATTTCATAAATAATCACTTCCTTTTTATCATTTCTTCATGTTTTAATTTAATCTCAAAATTCATTCTATGCTATTTTAGTATTTCTTAATAATTATACATATTTAAATCTTTGAATAATACTGGCTTGAACAAATTTCCTTTTCCTGTTTGAATACATCAAAAAGATGTATTCAAACAAAAAGATGATAATATTTAAGTATCAAAAGGTTAAATGAATTTTTCCTATCAATGAAAATAACGAAGCAATAATAATTAATTAGCAAAAACACTAATGAGGAATGAATGTAAACAGAAATGAATGAAATTATTTGCAGCTAAAAATTAAGCTTATTCTGTATTCTTTGCAAAAATTTCAATTATTACATTTATCAATTAATCAAGCTAAGGGAAAAGGAATTTTATATCACTTGATGAGATGCCCGAAGTTACATGTTAAGTTAATTAAAATTTTTTTTCCAGCGCATATACGAATTGTTACGTTGATTTTATTTTATACCAAATGTACTAGCTAGTTATACTATCTTTGATTGATAATAATGATAATTTTAGAGTTATCAGTAATATTAGCTGGTAATTTGAAATTTTTAAAATTTAACAATTTACATTGCGTTCCTTCTTAATTTATCAAAATTCAGGAATTTATTCTAAGATTTCCTTTTAGAACTTATTAGTATAATTCTGTTAAAACAGGTCAAAACAGTGTGATCTCCCTCTCTCTCTCTCTCTCTCTCTCTCTCTCTCTCTC